ATTCTTGGAAGAAGAGAATTGAGCTGGACTTGACATTGAGGAAAGTGTGAAGGTAAGGATAGTTTAACTAAGAAAATTCTTTCAAAACATTTAAAATTTGGGAGAGAAAATGCTAATACGGAATGTCGAAGAATCAAAGAAATTTAACATTACATATGCTTATATATGCTTTGCTTTTTGTGTTAAGGCAAATAGTAAAGTGAAGCTCAAGACATAGTTCAAATTGGTTTAGTATTGGGACTTACAAATGTGTCTTGAAATATGAGCCATTAGCTAAGATTTAGGAATACTTCATTTTGGTGGTGGCTCAAGAAGAAATTTTAGTTTCAGTTTTTCCCTATGATATTCATTTTATATCTAAGTTAGCTATTGGGTTGAGATTCCATCAAGAAAACTTTGGAATGTCTTTCTTTGTGCTATTTTGAGTTCTTTCTTCTTTCTGTGCTCAGGCATGGTGTGTGGTTTATGCAGCTGTAACACTGAGAATTAATACCTAACACCTGATTTAGATCTTGGGCTTTGCCCAATAGTATCACTAAGTACTAGAGTTTAAAAATATTTCCTTTTTTGGTGGTGAGTGTGTGTGTGTGTGTGTGTGTGTGTGTGTGTTGGGGGGCAGTCAGAATAAAAGTGGCCAATAAGGACATTAGGAGTTGTAGCTCATCTTTAGCCCAGAGGATGATGTTTGGTGTTATTAAGAGCAGAACATTTTTTGTTGTTGTTGTTTTCTGTTTGTTTTGCTTTTTGTTTTTTGTTTTTGTTTTTTTTTTTTGGATGGGAGAGAAGTAAGAATTTTTTAAATGAACTGCATCTAGAAGCCAGTTGAACCTTGTATCCTTTTAAGCTTGGGCAAACCACTTTCATTTTATGAGATCATAAGTAGTGAGATCAGGCAGGAAGGACATTGAGGAAGGACCTTTTTGTTTCTTATCCTGGAGATTTTCCCTGGGGTTTCTGCTGGCTATCTGGCAGGTATATTCTGCTTAGTGGGTGAGAAAAGCCCTGTATTCTCCTTCTAAAAAGAATGTGTCTATTCTTTAGATTAAAATCTAATCAAATTCTGGAGTACCTGGATTTATAAACAATAAGTTGCATCTGCAGGCAATAGTAAAGCAGGGAACAAAAAACAGATTTGTGAATAATGGTATTCTAGGAGATGACTGTACAGTGGTATTTGAGGATTTGGGCAATTTTTTTTCTCTCCACAATGAAAGTAAAGTAAAACGAATGCCATTTTTGTTGCCAGAATCAACTGGGTTTGTAGAGTCCCTCAGCCAGGCAAATATAGCAAGCCTGCTTTGACTTTGTTTGGTTTATGTTTTAAACAGAGAATTATTGGAACCATCAGGCTGTTTTATTTTTATTTTTGGAATAGTTTTATTTCATTTTTATTTATTTTTTAATTAATTTATTTTTTATGCTGACTGGTTAATGAAATCCAATAAGTTTCAGGTCTACAATTTAACAGTAAGGCAAATATATATTATGTTGTGTGTTCACTGCCCATTGTTAGATTTCTTTCTGTCACCACATATTTGACCCCTTTTACCCTTGTCTACCTCCCTCATCTCCCCTCTCCTGGTAACCACTTGTCTATTGTCCATGTCCATGAGTCTCTCATCAGATTGTTTTAAATTAAAAGGCTGCAGATACAGAAATTCTATAACTGAAGTAGGAATGAGGACTCGTTTTTTTTCCCATGCTCTGAACACCTCCTATTCCTCTTCAAAAACCTTCAACTACTCCCTTTTTCCTCCCTATCACATACCAATGGCTTAGCTGAGACATACTGGTCCATTCAGCCCTGGGTGCAGCAGGAACAAGTTTCTGGTCTTGAAGATTATTTGGTTTACAGCTGCACTTTTAAGAAGGGCACAAATTAAAATTTTCTTGTTATCTTCAACATAAGTAATATGTTTTACGTGTGTGTTGAAAGTATTTATCAGGTAAATCTAAACATTTAAAAACAACAAGTTTTTAAACTCTGGTTTTGCATTTTCTTTCTTTGTTAATGTACCAGAAGCCTCAAAAATGGAGGCCCTTAACCTCTAAGAGTCCCTGGTTGTCTGCTATATAGGCTCTCAAAATATAGCAATGGATATAGAGGCTAATGAAGAGGACAGATCTTCAATAACTAATCACACAAAGAATTTGAGGGCCTTTCTCCTGTCTGGGCCATCAGAGAGAATTCTCCAAGCAGATAAAGTTGGAGGGGCTAAAGAAATCAGCCAAATTTGAGGCGGGGGTGTATAAAGTAGTAGAGGTAATAGATCTCAATGACTGACTGGTTTTCAGGGACATCTGTGGACTCTAGGGTGATTTTCATATTTTGAATTTGAGTGAATGGTGGTGGTGTTAACTAAAATAGGTAACTGGCGGGGTGGGGGGGATTACTTTCTGGCAGTGGGTGGATTGATACTACGATTAGTTCAGTTTTGGGATGTGTTGAGTATGAGTGGGCTTTGAGACATCAGAGTAGAGATATTTTATAAATATATTACCCCGTATTATAAGAAAGACTTAGTTACTCTTGTTAATTTAGAACTTCATAGTGTATAAGACACTATCCAGATCCAATAGGGGAGAAGAGAGAATAGATATGTGGTCTCTGATTTCAAGAAGAGACCATATATCTATTCTCTAATTGCAGTCAAGGAATTAAATAACCACAGAAGATTCCAGTAACCCTCTAAGACAACATCAGGAGAAATGTGATAGCCTGTACATGAATGATGGCCAAGAGAATTATATAGATGCTTCTTGCTTTGCAGCAGTTAGTATCTAAGTAAAATTTCTCATCTGGGTTTACTTTTGTTTTGCCTTGGTAGTTTGAGGTGGGTTGAAGATAAACATGAACTTGTTTAATAGTACTGTGGAAAAACTTTGGAATAACTCATTTTAATTTTACAATGTAGTACGGTTATTTGTCCCATTTTACAGAAGATAAAACTGAGGCACTTGGAGGTCAAATAACTTGACCGGCCATGTAGCTATAAATGGTAAAATTGGGATTCATATCTAGTCAGTCTGAATCCAAAGCCCCTTCTCAGTGTTTTAAAAATCCTGTTCTTTTCTCTAAATGTATCTCCTATCATTTAAATTATTTGAAAACTTTATTTTTAGTGGCTATAAAATTTATTTAATATTATCCTAATTTTAGACATATATATTATGTTTAATTTGATACCTATATTTCCAGTTATATCTTTAGGATAAATTCCTGGAATTAGATTTTCTGTACCAAGGAATATAAAACCTTTAAGTCTCCTAAAAAAACATCATTTTCTCCCAAAGAAATTCAACTGATTTACAGTCTGGGTGTATTTTTCAGTCCCTCATAAAAGTATTTTTCATTCCCATAGAGTTGTCTAAGCCAAGACAAACAGGAGAAACTAAGTAACGCTATGATGAAGACGGTGGTTTGAATAATGAATCACAGAAAGTTAGAGCAGGAAGAAACTCCAGGTATTATCTAGGCCACCTTCTCCTTTTCCTAATTAAGAACTAAGGCTTGGAGAAGTTAAAGGATGTGTCCCAAAACATACCACTAATTAGAATTAGGACAAGAACCTGTACTTACCACTAAATGATATACTAAGTTAGAGTCTCTTGGATGGTTTGGATGATTCAAGGATGTGCTGAAATGTCTACCTGGGGTCTCAACTAGGTATGTAAGAAACTTTTATCATCTGAGTCGGCTTCACAGTTCCCCCCTTGAAATGTCACAGTATGCTGGAGGTGGAAGTAACCCAAAGAGGTCTCCCTGAATTGAGAGGTCCAGTGGGGAAACCCTGACATCCCTTTTCATGGTATGATCCACAAGGATGATTCTGAACTTTCTCTTCATTATTCCACTGATGGTACAATACATTTGAATAAAGGGCTGCTCATATAATTCAAAACTCATGTAAGTCAAGACTGATTTTCTTTAACACTGACCAAAAATGGAGGACTTTTTTTTTTTGTCTAACCATTATACTGTACACCTGAAACTGATATAAAATAATATTGAATGTCAACTGCAATTTTTGAAAAAGGACATTTCTGTTTATTATTACTCCAACATGTACCAATTGTGTAAACAGAATTTACAATTGATTTGGCTTGGTATCCATCTGGGTTACTGGTTGGACTAAGCCTCAACATTTCAATGACTGCACAATCAATGGTTGTTTCTTGCAAAATCTGAGGCAGGCTTGTTGGCTGTCCTCTATGTTGCAAACATGCTATGTCAAGGTTGCCAGGGCAGGTAAAGAGAGAGTTAAAGGAGTCATGTAGGCTCTTAACTAACTCAGCCTGAAAGTGATAAATACCACAGCCCATTGGCCAGAACTAGAAACACAGTTCTGATTGAGCTGGAGAAGAGGTTGGGAAAAGTGTGTGGAGGAGCACAGATATTTAATGAGCACTAATGATCTCTTCTATACACTTGAATCTTGATATTTTGAAATTACCTAGCTAAAAAAATTTGTAGACAATTTTATATCATTTCAAGTTTTAAACATCAAAGTAAAACTTTGATTATTTTCTTCAAATATGCTTAAAGTGTAACTGTATGGTGGAATATATACTATCATTTTAAGAAATTCTTTTGGATTCCCTGTTAAAAATGATAATAGTTGTGAGATTTTGTTTAATAGTTGTGAGATTTAGGTAAGTCATTTCACTTCTCTAAACTTATATCCCAACTGAAAATGAGATCTAATCCCTCATTCATGGGTATGTTGTAAAAATTACGTAAGAATTCTTACGTAAAACACTTGACACAGTGCCTAGGATAAGGTAAGTGTTCAAAGAATGTGAATTTTTCTTCTTATTGGTATTAGTGATATTGTAATGTATCTACTACTGTTGATAGTAATATCATTTTATCTTTTTCTCTGAATCAGTGATGTATCCATAATCATCAGAAGATAGTGTACCTTATCAGAACGAGCAATGTTTTGGCTAAGTTCTGGAAATGAAATGTCTTCATCTTTTATATGTTCTTATCTTGGTAGACATGGGGAGTTTCAAAGGTCATGCCCTCCCTGGAACTTTCTTCTTTATATTTGGTATTTGGTCTACTATAAAGAGCCTTCTGAAGTATGCCTGCAAAAAGCACAAGCGGACTTCCTACTTGGTTTCCAAAACATTATTCCGTTGGATAGAAATTTCAGAGGGAATCACAGTAGTCTGCATGGCTCTAACTGGTGAGTAAACTATCTCTCTTTTGTTTTCTCCGTTTGGCTACTTTCACAAAGAGAAGATTGCTAAAATTGCTAAAATGTCTGAACATACACTCTAATTGTAACTTCTATCTGATATAATTGTTGGAAGATGATACTTCATGTTTATACAAAGGTCTGTGCCTTAATGAGTTAATAGTAATTAACTTGCCTTTCCACTCAAGGTGGAAATTTCCTATGTAGAATTAGATGGAGCCTCTGAAATAATTTTATGTCAATTATTCTGATGCCTGAAAGAGTAAAGTCTGTCAAAATGACACCAAAATGGAAGTTTCAATAATAAATCACTGCTGATGGGCTGTGCAGAGGGTCAGGTTGAAGAAGACCTCACCACATAACGCTTATTCTTTTTGCGTGATTTCTACTTTGGAGAGGGAGATTAGGTCAGATGACTCCTAAGACTTTCCTGTTGACTTTAAGATTCTGTGAAAATGTTCTGTGTTTTTAGAGTTTTACTTCAATCTCTGCTTTATGAAAGGCAAAACTTCCTAATTTTCCTTTGGATTTCTTTATACTTAATTGTGGTGATAGATCTTTGCTGTGGCCATCGAATTACAGGGCTACAGTTTCCAAAGAGATAAATTTCTTTTCCAAATTCTACAGATTAACAAATACAGCAGCATTTTTAAGAAGGTTTAACTCTTTGTGTAGTTCACTAGATCATATGCTGTATCTGTCAGTGCTTTCTCAGTTATCTGTAATTGGGGAAAAGCTGAACTCTACTATTTTTATCCTCAACCAAGCACAACTCCATACTTTGTGGTAGCTACCCAGAGATGCAGTGTATAAGTACGCAGCCTCTATAGAGCTGATATTACAAATCCCAAACCCAAATCATTCAAGATTCATTTAGTCATTAGATTAAAATAGAAACTAAGATCATCAGTGGAACTGATCATGGTACTAAGTGGAACTAAGAGCATCAGCTTTAAAGATCTGTAATAGCTATTTGACTAAATTGCTTATCTTCGACTAGAAGGGATTATCCAAACCAGTATGTGAACCTCTAAAACAAGCCTAAAGCACTAGTGTTCAACTGTTAGAGAACAGCCCAGAAAGAGGCATCGATGTCATAAAAGGACATTAGATTGGAGTAAGCAGTGGACTAATCCTCCCGCATCTTCTGCTTTCTTGGTAAAGTTATGGAGAGGGTTGCTAAAACTTTAATACGTTCTTCTACAGGTATGCTTGGGGAACAGTTTATTGTTGGAGGGCCTCACTTGTCTTTATATGACTACAAAGAGGGCCAATGGATTCAACTCCTGAGCTGGCATCATTGCACCATGTATTTCTTCTTTGGATTGATGGGTGTGACAAACATCTTATGTTTCACCATCAGTTCACTTCCTACCTCATTAACTAAGTTAATGATGACAAATGCCTTATTTGTGGAGGGTAAGTATGAGTGAATATTTTCTTATACCTTTAACAATTATTGGACATTTGTCTAGCCCTTTATAATAATATTCTTTTAGTATCCTGTGCAGCCTTGATACATAGGGTTATTTATTTGGGCTATGGTGAGCTATTCGGTGTCCTACATGGATGCCAAAGATTTTCCTTCCCCACTGACTCATTTAGTAAAACTGGACAAGCACAATCATTCAAAGTACTTTATTCACATTTTATATCTGTCTTAAAGAACCACCTATTATGGTTATTTATCTCTGGGTTATCCTGGAGATTATTATTTCTGTTTTTAACAAATGAAACTGAGCTCAGTAGTGAAGCATGAATATCCTGAAATGAGGAGACACTCACAGCAGAGTAGCTTCCACTATCTACTAACTAGCCATTTTCATATTGATACAGTAAGGCTCCACTATTACATAATAAATCAGTTTCACAACAATTCAGTCACGTAAAAATATAAAGTCTTGTTTTGAGAGATTAATGAAAAACATTTTTTGGTCAGTTAGTTTCCTAATTATTGTATGGGGAAACACTGAAAACAGCATTTAAAAATTTGCTTTCATTTCTTGCACTTGAAAGGAATAGACTGATTATGGGACAAAAAAAGCCGCAAATTATTAGGAGGCAATCATTTCCTAACTGTACACCTTGCCTTTCTCCCACATGTGAAGATAAGAACTTTTGCCAACCACTCTTTGTGAACAAGGGCTAGATAAAAAATGGGCACCAGGAACCAATAGCGTGAGTCTCATGATCTCAGGGTGCTATGATAGTTTGAATGAACACCTTTTCATCCTTATTTAGATGAAAAAGATGAAGCTGAAGCTAGAATCTGTCCAAGGGATTAAAAAATGTAGTTAGTTACTACTTCTTGGGAGCTCCCAGAGCATCTTTTCATACCCATCAAAGTCTACTCTTATGATTTGTCTAGAAATTTGCTTCCTTCAATGGACTGAATTCCTTAAGATGAGCTTTGTCTCATACATACTCTAACTCCTGCTCCCTGCCCCCATCATGCTTATTATTGATCCTCCTTCATAGAAGCTGCTTTGAAATATAGTTGAAAATATCATGTTGTGTTAGATAATAGAGACTGAGGAAGGGAAAAAATGTTAGGTTTTAGAGATTCCATTCTAAAGGGGTAATGCGATTATTGTGAAAAGCAGTGGGTACTGGACATTATGGACAAATGTGTGTATGTGTAAAATTCTGTGTGTGTATGGAGAGAGAGAGAGAGAGAGAGAGAGAGAGAGAGAGAGAAAGAGAGAGAGACAGAGAGACAAAGAGAGAGAGAGAGAGAGGAAGAGAGAGAGGAAGAGGTTTCACTGAAAAAGACAAACTATGTTTTTCTAAGCCACTCCCCCTTAACCCCTGCTACCATTAGCTTTTATTTTCTACAACCATACTCATGGCCGGGAAATGCTGGACATCTTTGTGCATCAGTTGCTGGTCTTGGTCATCTTTTTGACGGGTGTTGTTGCCTTCATGGAGCTCTTCACACGGAGTATAACTGTGGAGCTTCTGCGGACAAGCCTCATCCTGCTTCAGGCAAGCTGGTTCTGGCAGGTGAGTCGGGGCCACCAGTTAATGTACCTGGTATCTCTACCTGTAACCATCTCTCTCTGTTTACTGGGGCATTTTACCTTAGAATCCCGGGACTTCTTTTTGATGTGCTGGCTGTGGTGAGAATATGGGCTCTTGAGAGGTGTTGTTTCTTCAAGTTGCCCAACGATCCTGGTAGGAGTGTTGACAGAGCAATGGGGAAGGGAGTGGGCTGTGCACATCTTCATCACACACCTGAATATCCACTGTGTAAGAACTCTGGGCTGGTAATTTCAGTTGGACGCAGTTTCTGATGCTAAAGCCTAGTGGGTAATAAGCTCAAGAAATATGAAAGGCAGGAAATGGAGGAAACTATTATTGATTGAGAAACAACTATGTGCCAGCCCCTGTGCAGGACTTTTGCACACACATTGTTTCATTCCATCCTCACAATGACTTGGAAGTTAGGTATTAACATTCCCAATATTAATTGATAAGGAAGACCAAGTGAGACCAAGTTACTTTCCCACAATAATAGAAATAGAATCTAAACATGAGTTATCTGACCCCGAATCCCAGATTCTTTCTATTTTACTCTGTCTAATCCTCAGCCTTAGTGTGTTGTTGAAAAATTGTATTTCAATCAGTGAACATGTATTTTATAGAGAATGAGAAATCATAATCCAATATCCATATATAGACCTAAAGAAAGTCTTGGGTGAAAGGTGAATGTGGTTTAATCAGGGAAGACTTCTTAAAAGAGATTTTCTATCGCCAGAGAGCAGGGATTTGGAATGATGAGGTTATTTCAGGGATTTGCATTTCACATGAAGAATGATAAGAAAGCTCTGGCAGGAGAGCGGGGAGAAACATCATGGTCAAAACAGGGGTAGGAAAGATGTGATATTTAAGTATGTGATGGAGTAGAAAGGCTGTTGGAGCAGAGGCTAATGAGGAGGTGTTGGATTTAAGGGTTACTTAAAAAAATATATAGAAAAAATAACAACTATCTTATAATATGATAACATTGATAAGTAGTGAATTTAACCAGTTTATATTCAGAAGTTGTTTTGTTAGATTATTTATCATCTGCTGGGAACTTAAATAGAATGGAATGTAAAATACTATTATGCATTCTATATCTCCTGATTGACATGTTTTATCACATGCATGTGTTACCTATTCAAAAATAAAAATAAATTTTAAAAAACTTAACAGAGATAACTTCTGGTCAATATGATACAGTGAGTTTATGCTTCAGTTTATCTCCTCTGCTCCAAGCACATAATAATGACATAATATATAATAAATACCTATAAAATAAAAAAGAAATTAACTTATTTCTCATTTAGAAAAAAAAGTGCAGCTCGCTGCCAGTGTTAATTTTACATAAACCCACTCTTCGAGGCTGAAGCAAATCTGACTGGTTTTTAATATGAAAATAAAGGGTAAAAACTGTTCTTGGTTTTATTTCTAATCAGAACTTGTCTCCAATCCTAATGTAACAGAAATGTATACATAAATTGGATTCATCAAATGAATCTTTGGTTAACAACTGAGAACAATGTTAACATCACACGTTGGAATGTTATGTTTTCTAGGATTTGACATTTTCAGCTATTGAGAATTACTGTATTTTTTAAATGGAAATACCACTACTAAAAACATAATGCTTAAATAGAATGATGTCATTTGTTTCCAAAGACTATTGATATACTAGAGCGATGTGAAAATAATAATAAAAGCAAGATATTTCATGGCAGACTTTGGGGGTAAGGTTAGGACTGTAATCTGCGAGTTATCTTGGGTTAAACGCTGCAGTTGCAAGTGCCGTTGATGAATATTCTCGGGGCAAATGGGAAATGAGTTAAAAGAAGAAAATAAAAAAATAAAAAATACCAGGCTGCAATTAAACAGTATAAACAAAAACAGGGCAAACCCCCTCGTGGGTCAGACACAGGCTAGAATGGCACAGCAGGAGTAGAGCTGAGCTGCAGGTCTGTGGCTCCAGGTCTAGAGTAGACAGTGATGGTCAGTTGTTTGGTTCCAGTGGAACTAAAAGGAAATAAAAGAATTCCTCTTAAAGTGAGTGATGAAGCCAGGCTTTTGGATCTCTTTGTGTTGTTTGTATAGTTGATATTCCTAATTTCTTTTCATCCCATTGAGATCTCACTTTCTGATAGAGGTCTCTTGAAGTTTTATATTATAGTAATAGCTTTGTCATTTCTCCTTATTTTCAGTTTTTGCTTAAATGTTATGAAGCTGTATTCTTCTCTTTTTGTTGTTGTTGTTGTTGTTGTGTGTGTGTGCTCATGTACTTTCAGTCTTTCCTGTTTATAAATAAATACACGTTAGGCTATAGATTTCCCTCTATGCACTACTACAGCTACCTTCCATAAGATTTGGTGTGTAGTAGTTCTCATTCTTGGGCAATTTTGAATATTGTATTTTCCATGTGCTTTCTTCTTTAATGAGTTATTTAGGTATGTAATTTTAAGTTTCCACAAACTAAAAAGTTTTTTCCAAAAACTTTTTTCTTTTGATTATTCATTTCTATTTTAATTGCTTCGTAGTCAGAGAATGTGTTCTCTTTGAAATGGGCTCAGACTTCCTTTGGGACATAGCCCAATGTCAGTGGTAGCAAATGTTCCATGCACTTGAAAAGAAAGTATATTCTGTCTGCGCTGGGTTCAAGATTCCACATATATTTACCAAGTTTGTTAAAGAGCAATAAAGAATTCAGAAAGTAAGAACAAAGGAGAAACAAAAAGAGTTGAAAAAAAAGAAGAACGAGCAGAATTAAACTAATTAGTTTTCCGTTTAAAGTTCATAATTAGTTAAGGATCTGAGGAAGAAAGCTGTGGCCTGTGATAACTGAGAGTCAGTTGGCTTAATGTTGCGCCTTTTGGCAGAGAAATAATGTTTGCATGTTTCCCCAAAAGGTTTCCTGAGGAAGAGCTATGAGACTGAGTCTTTGGGCACAAATCTGTGATTATTTAAAAATATTTTCCATCTATCAGTATGTCTAGACTAGTTTCTTTTTTTACCTGATGGCTAGACTAAATAACATCTGAATCCTTAAAGAAAAATGAACATTTAATACCAATGCAAACACACACACTGGCAGGAAATGAAAATTTAGCATAGTACTTCTTCTCACCATTAGATTCCTCTGAAACTGAAAAAAATGGAGACTTAGGCGAATTTATTGTGCTTCCATGTTTTGTTGCAATGTGTGGTATACAAATGCTTATGGCCAAAACTCTATCTTAACCTAATAATATTACATAGTGATTTGCTTTATACTATATTTTTTTCTCTCTCTACTCCTCCATGTATGCTTAAACCAGTGCATGAAAAATGTATAGACGAATTAGAGAAAATGCACACCTTGACTCTTGGAACCATAAGTATAAAGATGTGAACTGAATGAGGCAAAGGCTGAGATTGGCTACTTTTTTATAACATATGTAAATGATTGGGTAGTAGGCAAACCTAGAGGGAATTCTCCTCCCAACCTATAAAAATGCTTTCTTTTCTGAACCTCATACAACCATATGTGTTTTATCAAAAACCTAACCACGTCACGCAGTTTAAAAAAGAGAAAAATCCTTCAGGCCCATTCATCCTTGAGTCATGTTTTACCTGAGTCTCTGTGTGGGAGAATATTTCTAAAGCTCGCTTTTGCACTGTCATTTTCAAGCTTCCTTCCATCATTGTTAGAGTTATGGCGTAGAGACAGGGACTGAAGAAGACACTCCTGCTGTGTTTGCTTCTCATTATTTAGGACAGGTGTTTCTGTTGCCTCTCTCACCTCCACTAATTCCCATAGAGACTCCTCCCATGACTAACTAACCAGATCTCTGAGCCCAAACCAAAAGGCAGCCTCGTTTTGCCTTTAAGAAAGAACATTTCATCCTAAAATGCAAAAAGATCCAACTAAGCAGTAGTGGTCTGAGATCTGATACTGTAGATCAAACACTCACTGAAATAAATGATTGGAGAATAAGATATAAAATACTAGGAAATTCAAACTAACTTATAGGAAATGGGCCCCTGGCTTGTTGCCTATTAGAGATGAAAATTATTTACATTTTAAATGTGGTACTAATGAAGCTGAAACTAGTCAAAAACAGATGTTCAGGAGTGGCATACAAGATATAGCAAGTAAAACACTTTTTTTTCCAGGCCTTTTTTCTTGCCGTTTTGTATTAGGAAGCAAATTAAAACAGCAGATAAAAGAATACAGGCTGATTTTTATATTTAAAGGATTTAATGATTTGTGGCATTTTCTAACCCTTTGTTTTCAGCTTTCCTAATTTACTTGACTAAAATGACTAAGGAATGTTACTACGGCTTTCAGTATAATCACGTCAGTTAACTCTGTTCATAGGATTTGCAGTAACTTTTGGTCAAATCTTTAGCTTTTAATATCAGGCATTGAAGGTCCCAAGGAGATAAGGAGTGAGAGGTGCTCAAAATATCTCTTTATTTAGTGTACAATAGTAAAAATTTTGCCTGGTAGAATTGACTGTGACTAATGGAAGTGACTTAAGAGAGATTTTATTTTGAAAGCTCCCAAAACAAATTGTGACTGTGGCATGTTGTGAGAAGTCCATGGGCCTCCAGGTCAGGCAGACCTAGATCTGAATTCTAGTTCTACCATATTAATCACATGACAGTAGACTTGATATTCTGTGCCTTTAGGTTTCCTTAACTATAAAATAGAAATAATATCACATGAGATTGTTGTGAGAATTAAACATTGCAACTTGAAAACACATGCTGCTCTAAGAGGGGTGATGTTAATTCCTTAGAAGAGGGTAAAGACAGCTTCCAGAAGAAGGTGAAGTTGTGTTGGGGCTTGAAAGATAGATGAGGGTAACCAGTGTGACCAGGCTTGAAGTTTAGGACAGGTGATACTCATTTGCTTATTTTGGCCTTAACTCCTGTATTCATTTCCTAGGGCTTCAATAACGAAGTTCCATAAACTGGATGACTTAAAACAATGGAAATGTATTTTTTCACTGTTCTGGAGGCCAAAAGTCTGAAAATCAAAGTGTCGGCAGGTTGTTTTTTTCTTGGGGGCCCAGAAGGAGAATCTGTCCCATGCCGCTCTCCTAGATGGTTGCCAGCAATCCTTGGCATTCCTTGGCTTGTGGCAGCGTAACCTCAACCTTTGACACCACAGTCACATCTCTGTGTTCACATGGGTTTTCTCTAAGAACACAAATCATTGGATTTAGGGTCAATTCTAATCCAGTGTGACTTCCTTTTAACTTGATGACATCTGCTAAGACCCTCTTTTCAAATAAGTTCACATTCACAGGGTACTGGAGCTTAGGACTGCAACATACCTTTTTGGAGGACACAATTTAACTCATAACTGCTAATTCTTACCTTTGGGAGGTAGAGCAAATCACTCCCCAAGAAAGGGTGCTTGAGTTCTGGAGATGGCATTGGGGGAACATTGGTGGAACTGACAGGTGAGACCTGGGGAGTGAGTTCATAGCTCATTATACTCACCCTTCCTAAAAGGCCTTTTCTTGACACAGAATTTTTCTGTCAGTTTCCATGAGTTGCTATGACAGGAGGGCATGAGAAGCAGATTCTCATGGTCCTGACACCCAAATTAAATGTCTGGGTCCCTTGAAATGAGAGTTCACTACATAACTTTCGTTTCTTTCTTGTCATTTCTGAACAGCGATCACAGAGGATCTAGAATTTCTTGCTTTATTCCAGGGCCTTCAGGGACCCAGGCTCTGGTCATTTTGGTCCCTGGAGTGAGTTTCCCAGCTGTATGGAAAAAAAGTATTGCAAAGCACTGACAAGTCCAAGCAGCAGGCAAATCAGCTGCTTGGGTGGCATTCTCCTCCTGCAGTTTCTAAATATTGCAGGCACAGATCTCTAACTTGGTGTCTGTTGTGTCTTTTGCCAGTGGTATTAACGCCTCATCTCTTTAGAATGTTGCGGTGTCCTAGTGCAGAGGCCTCACCCTTGGTGGGTGAGGCACAGCAGCAATGATGCAAATGTCTTTCCAACTCTTTGGAGATGAAGAAACAGGTTATGTGTTACTTACTGTTCTCAACTCTAAAATAGAGACATGTGTATTCTGGGATCTCCTGGATGCAGAGAAAGGCAGAAAGAAGTTATAGAGTGCCTTGCTAATTTCAAATTATGTGATATTTTGGAAACAATTGTTTCTAACATTGGTTGGTAAATAAAATGCATAGCACCAGCACAAAAATAGAAAACTTCTGTCTGCCTTGCTTCACTTGATCAGGCAAGAAACCTGAATAATGACCAAAATGGAGAGTCCATTCATCCATCCAAACATCCATCCATCCATCCATCCATCCATCCATCCATCCATCCATCCATCCATCTATCCATCCGTCTTATTTTTTATTGGGGTAAAATTCACATGGAATTAACCATTTTTAAAATGCGAAGTTTAGTGGCATTTAGTACATTCACAATGTTGTGCAACTGTCATCTCTATTTAGTTCTAAAACATTTTCATTACCCTCCCACCCCCCAAAAAAACCCTTGACTCTTTAAGCAGCCACATCTCCTTTCTCTCTCCTCTTAGACCCTGGTAACCATTAATACGCTTTCTGTCTCTATGGGATTACCTATTTTGGATAGTTCACATAAACAGAATCAGACAATATATGAATTTTTATGTCTTTAACATAATCTTTTCAAGATTCATCCATGTTGTATCATGTATTAGTACATCATTACTTTTTATGGCTAAATATAGTCAATTGTACGGATATACCACACTTTGCTTATTCATTATCAGTTGATGGACATTTGGGTTGTTTCCAACTTTTGGCTATCATGAATAATGCTGCTGTGAACATTTATGTACAAGTTTTTGTTCAAATAGCTGTTTTCAGTTATTTTGGGTATACACCTAGGAATGGAATTGTCAGGTCATGTGATAATTCTACGTTTAACTTTTTGAGATACTGTCAAATTGTTTACCATAGTGGCTGTACTACTTTACATTCCCACCAGCAACGTACAAAAATTATAATTTCTCTATATCCTTGCCAACATTTGTTATTTTTATTTATCATTATGATTACCATCCTAGTGGGTATAAAGTGCTATCTCATTGTAGTTTTGGTTTGTGTTTCTCTCATAACTAATGATATTCATCGGCTTTTGATGAATTTATCGACCATTTGTATACCTTTTTTGAGGAAATGTCTCTTCAACTCCTTTAAAAAAATATTTTTCGTCTTTTGCTGTTGAGTTTTAGGAGTTTTTAAAAATATATTATAGATATTAATTCCTTATCAGTCCTATGGTTTACAAATAATTTCTTCCATGCCATGGGTCATCTTTTCATTTTCTTGATGGTGTCCTTTGATGCACAAGAGTTTTTAATTTTGATGAAGTCAAATTTATCTATTTTTGCTTTGGTTGATTGTGCTTTTGATGTTATATCTAAGAAAATATTACCAAATCCCAGGCCATGAGTTGTTTTATTTTAAGAGCTTCATGGTTTTAGTTTTTATTTTTATGTCTGATCTATTTTGAGTTAATTTTTGTATATAGTGTATGGTAAGTGTCCAAATTCATTCTTTTGCATTTGCATATCCAGTCATCCCAGCACCATTTGTTGAAGAGGCTATTATTTCCCTATTATATAGCCTTGGCACTCTTGTCAAACCAACTTACTATAGATATGTGGGCTTATTTATGGACTGTCAGTTCTATTTTATTGATTTGTATGTCTGTAATTATGTCAATATTATACTGTTTTGACACCTGTAGTTTTACAGTAAGTTTTGAAATTAGCAAGTATAAGTCTTACAACTTTGTTTTTCTCTTACAAGGTTGTTTTGGCTATTCTGAGTCCCTTGTAATTCCATATGAATTTTAGGATCAGCTTTCCATTGCTGCAAAAAGGCCACTGGGATTTTGATAGGGATTGCATTGAATCTGTAAATTGCCTTGCGTGTTATTGCCATATTAACAATATTAAATCTTCCAGTCTATGAATATGTGATAACTCAATTTATATATATCTTTTTTGATTTCACAATGTTTTATAGTTTTGAATAATAAATAAATAAATAATAAATTTATTCCTAAATATTTATTCTTATCAATGCTATTATGAGTGGAATTGTTTTCTTAATTTAATTTTGGGGTTGTTTATTGCACGTATATGAAAATACAACCGACTTTTATGTGTTGATTTTGTATCCTGAAAGAATGCTGAATTCATTTATTAGCAATTTTTTTTTTATGGATTCTTTAGGATTTCCTATATACAAGATCATATCATCTGTGAATATAGTTTTACTTCTTCCTTTTCAATCTGGATACCCTTTATTTATTTTTTCTTGACTGATTGCTCTGACTAGAATTACTAGTACAATGTTGAATAGAAGTGGTGAAATCAGACACCCTTGCTTTATCTTAATTTTAGGGGAAGAGCTTTCAGTCTTTTACTATTGAGCATAATATTAGCTATGGGCATTTATATATTTTAAAAACCTCTTGTGCTCTAATATTGAAGTAATTGAGTTAGACTGCACAACTTAGAAACCTAGCTCATTCTCCGAAAGTCCACCAATCTCCAGAGAGATTACTATTCACATTTTAAAATTGATTTTTTAAATGTCCTTAAATTTTTTTTTGCAAAAATATGACCTACTAGATACCATCTATATTACTAAAACAGGAAATAAAACCTAATGTCTTATCTGTAGCATCTCAGATAATGGGAGTTATCTTAATTACTATTAATCTTGGAAACAAGCATTTTGAAATGCATCATCTCTGGGGATGTGGCTGGTTATTTTAATATGTGCTTTTTTTTTTTTTTTTAAATTGCAGATTGGTTTTGTCCTTTATCCCCCCAGTGGAGGTCCTGCATGGGATCCAATGGATCATAACAACATTATGTTTCTCAGCATATGTATTTGTTGGCATTACGCAGTAACCTTTGTTATTATTGGAGTGATTTATGCCTTTGTTACCTGGTAAGTTAGTGATTTTTGTTCATAGAAATTCTATTCCTTGGTATATGATCAATAAGACTTGATAGTATTCAACTTAAAATTCAAAGGGGGATTTTATTCCTTAGCATTCCACAAGACAGAGTAATATAGCAGAAAATTATCTGCAAACACAGAAATTCCCAATCAAAAAGAACAAGTGCTGGTTTAAAGTTAGAATAAGCTCAACAGTATCTTTGCTGTGCCTCTGACCTGTGCATCACCCTTCAACACACTCTTCTGTGCCTCCATTTCTTTGCATCTGCTGTTTCCTTTTCTGAATGGTCCTACCCACACCTGCAGTGCGAGAGCCCTCTGTTTGCCCATGTGTGCACCAATTATAGCACTTGCGCAGCTTGGTGTCATTTTTTGACCAACATAATGCCTCTCATTAAATTTGAGTATCTGATTAATTTGCCATTTACTCAAATATTTCTGAAAGTAAGATTCTGTTGAATACATGTTTGAATACATCCCGATACAATGTTTCGTGATGAGTGAGGAGCAATATAGCCAGTTGATAAGAACACATATTCCTAGCTCTGCTATTATCAGCTGTATGAGTTTGGGCAAATTATTTAACCACGTTAAGTCTCAGTTTTGTTGTTTGTAAAATGGGGATAATAATAGTACCTAAATAAGATCATGTATTTAAACTGCTTAGGCCATAAGAAGAGCTCAATGAAAGGTATTCTTGTACTTGTTCTTTTTGTTATTCTTCTTATTCTTTTTCTTACCCTTCTGTATCAAAAATGCATAAGTATCAACCCTTTGGAGAGAGACAGACAATTTAAATACAATATAATAAGTGGAAATAGTAGAAGAGCAAAGCACTGTTGGAGCTCAGAGGAAGCCTCCTCACAACTGAGAAATAATCTGCAGTTTGAAGGATGAGTAGGACTAGAAAGGAGTGAACATGGTTCCTCTCTCTCAGGTAGCTAATGCTAAAACACAGCTGACCTGGCTGATCCCATTTTGATCAGTGCTAAGATCTGAAGGATTATGTGTAGGAGGAGTCTAGGCATGCAGACTCCTACACATAATCCTTCAGATAAGGAACATTTTGATCAGTGCTAAGATCTGAAGGATTATGTGTAGGAGTCTAGGCATGCAGACTCCTCCTACACATAATCCTTCAGATCTTAGCACTGATCAAAATGTTCCTTATCTTCAATTTTCATTATGGTAGCCATGAGCTACGTGTGGTTATTGAGGACTTGAGATGTTCCTAGTGCCACATTAATTTTAATTAATTTAAATATCTGTATATTCATAGAGATTACCATAGTGGACAATGTACAACCACAAGATTCTCTAGATTCCTAAAATGCAGTCACTACTTCTAGGCACAGTGGGGTCTCAGCCTCTGCCAAAACTAGCTTTTTACTCTTTAGGCTTGAGCCCAGGTCACCTCTCCTGCTCTGTGCTCCTTTAAGCTTCACTGCTGAAGCAGCTTTGGTGCTGGTTCTGAGTGAGGAAATTAAGGGAATGGCTTCCAGTGTCTCTGCTAGGCTTCGAGTCAGCCCACTTTGATCTGCAGTTGTCTCTTTCTAGAGGTCTAAGTGCTTTGAGTGCTGGGAAATTCTACCTTCTCATTGACTGATTTCCATTAGTCCTATTCCATTCTACGAAAGCATGTGCATGAGCTGGTTGTTAAGGCTGGCTCTGCTGTCAAGTGAAACCTGGCTTCTTCCTCTGTTGTTCTAGGCTGACATCTGGGCCTCATCTCCTTAGAGGCTGGGCAGCCTCCAAGACCAATGCCAGCATTCAGGGATCCTCTCTACCGCATGTCAGCTCCCTTCCAGAGTCAACAGAAGACTATTGTCTTTTCCTGTTTCAAAAAACTTCAGACTCCTAATGAATCTCTTATCTGCTAACAGTTCTCTAGAAACCAGAAACTCTGTTTATTTTTTCAATCTCTGCCCTGCCCCTTTGATGTTTTGACCGTGTAGTTCCCTCTACCTGGCATATCCAAATTACACGCCCATCTCTTCTATGAAAATGTTGGTGATTATTTTAGCCCTGGCTCATCTCCCTTCATGAGTTTTTATAGCACTTTTGTCTACCACACCTTTTAACAATTGTGAGCTATCTCGTGATGTTTGCTATTAGTCCATGTTAATGTTATCTGTTAGCTAGATTGTGTTGCCTTGAAGAAAAGACACCTTTTCATATTTCTCACAGCTCTTGGCGTACTGCCAAGTAGTAAGTACTCAATAAACACTTAGTCGCTGTTTTAATAGATCTGTTTCAAAGTTACTTGACTATAGTCTTCATTTGTTTGGAAATCATGTTTTATATGCTTTCCCATTTTTGTTCTCTTGAAAATATAAAACCTGGAGCTCACGTTCTGACATAGTTTGACATGAACTTAAGCAATGGCTTTAAAATATCATTAAGATTCAGTACTGACTTTCAGTGAAGTCACATGGCAGGGTAATTCAGTCCTGTTATCACAAGGAACTTTGAAAATGCCTTTGTCAGAGTTTGACTGTGGAGTGGTTTATGACTCAGTGATAGACGATGGATTTTCAGGACATTATATCAGAATTTGTTTGACATAGCACAAAGATCACTATGGAAACAAAATGGAGTTATGGAACCACTGCCCCTCAAATCTCTGAAAAATGAAGCTGTACTCTCAGTTTTCCAGAATAATGGTTCAAAAATTGTCTCATCCAGTCCCATGCCTGCGGTCTTGATTATGACAGCTTGTAAGAGGGACCTATTTGGAATTCTTATGTGTTTCACTGTATTTTATATTAAAATATCTCTGTTGCACAAAACTATTTCAAAAGCTTCTATGTATAGAAAAATATTGCCCATTTTCAGGTTGGCTTTCCAAGCAATGATTTATGTGAGCCATTTTGAAGAACGAAAGAGAGATGACCAAATAAATTCCAGGTATATGATATTTTGCCTTCTGGAAGTTTGATTTCCAGATAGACTTCTGGAAGTATACCCAGAGTCTCTGCTCTGTTCTTTCTCATAATAATTGAGGAGAACACATGGGAACAAACGCCCAGTTATGCCCTGATCTTCTTTCCCTGGACTTGTGTCATTCCAGGAACTAGCAATTATTTGCACTTCCTCTTATTACTCCATCCCTCAATCTGACCCCAGTGGCCATTCATGCATATGCCAATACCTAGAGCTACAGGGTGCAGATAAAGCCTGTTTAAGGTGTCTGAACATCCCTCACCCTGGTAGCTTATAGCAATAGCAGGCATGCCAGAGAGCAGTAATGGGAATCAGAATGAATCACTAGGGTGTGTTAACCATTCATTTGTAATAAGTAGCCATGTCTTTGTTTTATTTCCCATGAGAGTTATCAGGAATGAATCTAATGAATGAATTAGATAATTAATCCATTTCATTTAGCATATATTGAAGTTGTACAATGTGGAAATAACTGTATGGGTTTAAAAAATGACACAAACACTGTCCTGGACTTTAACTTGTTTACGACTATTAGCCTTTCATGAGAACAATGCCTTGAAGAGTTGAGGACACTGGAAGCAACAGCAATAGTCAATTAATAATCAAGACAAATGATTTTGAGTAGTTTCCCTTGGCTCTTGATGAGTCAACAGACGTTACTAAATGCTGCTCAGCTGTTGTTATGTATTGACAGTTAATGCTGAGTTGGAAGTCACTGAAGAATTCCGCATTATTTATGAATCAGTGATTGAACTCCTGGCAGATTGCTCCAAAGGCCATTGATTCACCAAATGTGTGTCGAGCCACTATTACGTACCAGACATTGTTCTAGGATCTGGCTGGGTTTAGGGCAGTAAATAAGATGAGGTCTCAGCTCTTACAAGGCTTATATTCTAGTGGGATCCAGAGCACAAGTAAAATCATTGATGATGATAGGGGAGGGCCAGAACTTCACCGGAAGAAGAAAGGCAGAAAATAGGGTGAAGTTGCAGATAAACTGGTGATGTTTTTCATATAATGAGAATTATTTTGATGATCTGATTTATCATGTTTGTTTCCATATTCACACATATTTCTGAAAGTTAAATATGTTTTATTGATATAGTCACAGTGCAATGTCTTTACAAGTAATCGTGCACAGAAAAAGGTTTTCCTTGTTCTTATTACATCAGAGAAGGGGAGAACATGCTGAGTTTCTGTCACTAAAAAGCTTCACATCTTCCAATAACAAAAATTATAATTGCTGCTTCCCCTAATCCTACAGATTCTCTTAATATAGGAAGACAGTCACAAGGGTGGAGGTGCACTTCTTCTAACTTCTTAATTCATTATGGACCATCCCATGCAGTTGAGCAGCCTGTGGCCTGCACTAAAGCATCCCTCTGAAGGTGCGAGTAGGGACCACAATACATCCCAGACTTGACATGGGGCTTGACATGGGGAAGGAGATGCCTTTATGCAATTCTTTTTAGGAGAGGGCTCCTACTAGTAATACTCAGCTAGGTGTAGACTTGCAGAAGCTCAGCTGAGCTTGGTTTCATCTGGGCTTCCTACAGTCCAGAGATTCTCTTGTTCGTTTTAGAAGTGATAAAAGTTATATAGAATAAGGCATCTCCTGATACCTAATTAAATAATTGTGTTATGCATTCAAAAGCTATATTTTATCTGTTTACTTACACCCTGCTTTAATCCACAAAAAAATTTCAGGTAGGTCCAAAGCCAAACAAAAGTGATTTTCTTTTTTGGGGTGCCGCTCCCATTTGCACAAATGATTTGGAGTTTGTTGTATTGTAATACATATTGCTCTGGGTTTTTATATTAAACACCATAATGTGAGGTGCCTTTCATTCTCCTCAGGTTGGTTCAATCTCGACTAAACAGGTTCTGCCCCTCAGAAATTGGACTCCTGAAAAATGCTGAACGAGAACAAGAATCAGAAGAAGAGATGTAATTTTGATGGACATCTAGTCTTTCTGGATGAACTTTTTCTTTTTCTCTCTCTCTCTTTTTTTTTTTTTTGCATTGTTTTTGTTCATGGTTTTATTTCTTTACCTTTTGTTTGGAGAACAACTGGCTGAGGATTATTCTTGGTGTACTGTTTGTATTTCCAATTTTGTAAAAGTATTTGAATTTAAATTTTTTACTTTTAAGTTTGAAAATATTTTAGATGGTAGGCTCATTTTGCACATCAGTCTTGGTATTCAGGGCCTGGCGTGACTCTTTCCAGGTCATCAAATGAAATATGGAACAACTTTTCCTTTGCCCAGAAATTGACCCAACTTCTCTTAGCCTCTCAGATCAATTAACATACTCAAATAAAATAAAATGACTTCGACTGAGTGTATTTCAATATGTAGTTATGCTCTCATATTGTCAAACACAACACTTGTACCAATCAGGCTGACCTGTTCTCTGTTTTCCAAAACATGTTTATTTTAATTAACATATCAATGTCGTATTAACCTCCCTTCCCTCCTCCTCGAAGTTTAACTTCCAGAGATTCTTTAAAGCCTAGTTAAAAATTTTTATTTTCTACTGCTTCACACCACAGTATTCGATCTATAAACTCCTATAGCACAGAGCCCAAAGCAGCATTAGATCATTTGCTATTCAGTCCTTTAAGCATCTATACATAAATTCTTTCTTCTTCATATATAATAATCTCCTAAAGACAGCCAAACTTTTTTTTATCTCTATTGTAGCACCCAAGGAATCCTTTTCAACCTGTAGCATTGAAAACTGAGCTATATAAGCAGAAAAAAAAGAGGAACTCAAAAGAAAAGGTTGTCTGTAGGTGAGGACTCTGAGACTAGAGTATTATTGACTTGTCCGTGATCATGCAGTCAGTTAATGGCAAAGCCCATGATGGGATGTTTTTCTTAACACCAGAAGTAAGGGTGTTGTAACATGTCAGAGGTTATACTATTGCATAGTGAATGGTTCAATTCCTTCTTAAACAGACCTGCTTATTCTAAAGTCCATCTGTTCCCCATAGAAGTGTCCCATTCGGAGAAGGAGACTTTGGCTTCTGTTTGAATTATCTCTAGTCAGAAACTGTCTTAGTCAGTTTGGGCTACTATAATAGAATACTATAGACTGGGTGGCTTAAACAACAAGCATTTATTTCTCACATTTCTAGAGTCTGGGAAGTACAAGATCAAGGCCCCAGCAGATCTGGTGTCTGTTAAAGGCCTGCTTCCTGGTTTACAGATGGTGGCTTTCTTATGTCCTCACATAAGAAAGGACTCCACAGTGATGACTTAATTGACTCCCAGAGGCCTCACCTTAAATTACCATCACAATGAGCATTAGAGATTCAATATATGAATTTTGAGGAGACACAAACATTCAGTCCATAGCAGAGATACAAGAGATTACCAGGCCAGAGATGATTAAGACACACCATTCTTCCCAGTGTATCTGATGCGCCTACTCCCTGAGCCCCAAGAAATGTGTCTAAATTTATTTCATATCTGATGTGCCTACATTACGGATGAATGTCTGAATACTGAAGATACTACTGTATATTAGGCTTAACAGCAGAAAAAAACAAAACAAAACAATAGTGCTACCCTCTAGTGGCATAGCATGTAAACACAACTCATAAGCCAAAGTACCAGGTTCACATTCTAAAAGAACCTTCCTTGACCCAAATAAGAAGTCAGACCACATAGTTAGAGGTGGAGTCTAGATTATTTAAAAAATCTTAGATTCTAATTTATTAGTACTATAATTTTTATGGTTGAATTGTGTCTCCCCCTGCCCCAGTTCTTATCTTGAAGTCCTAACTTCCAATACCTCAGAAGGTGACCTTATTTGAAAATAGACTTGTTGTAGATATAATTATTTTAGTTAAGATGAGGTCATACTGGAGTAGGGTGGGTCCCAATCCAATATGACTGATGTCCTTATGAAAAGGGGAAATTGAGACACAGACACACACGTAGGGAGGATGCCATGTGAATACAAAGGCACAAATCAAGGTACTGTGTCCACAAGTCAAGGAATGCCAAAGATGCCAGCAAACCACCAAAAGCTAAGTAAGAGGGCTGGAACAGATTCTTGCCTAGCACCTTCAGAGGGAACGTGGCCCCACTGTTAACTTGATCTTGGTCTTACAGCCTCCAGAACTGTGAGACATTAAATTTCTGTTGTTTAAGCCACTCGGTTTGTGGTACTTTGGTATAGCCATAGAAAACTAACACATCCATTACTTTAACATTAGTTTTAAGCTTAATGTTTCAGACTTCAAAATAAGACACGAACTTGAGTTGGAAAATGGTATGCTGAAGGTAATATGGCAA